CTACTCTACAATATACTTCTACTTGTGATATAAATGTCCCATTATCCATCAGTTAAATCACAGTATTTGCTTTTCTGTTTGATGCTATGGCAAATGGACATCCTAGGCCCTCCCCATACTTACACAAACGTATTCTTTTCCCCTGGCATGGTGCAGTATGTTTGACGTGCATCCTGTTTGGGTGACTAGTTGAAATACACAGCCCCGGGTGCACAAACCAGGCCTCCTGGTGCTGCAGCACAAACCCTTACAACAAATTTTCACTATATAAATGAAGCCACTTACCGACAAAGGCAATGTTAAAACTGCAGGTACAATCTATGTACATGAGTCTCAATCTCCACTTCTGCTCCTAAGTATCTGAGGACTACATTAAACTAGTGGCTTTCCTCCAACAACAGAATATTAAGAAAGGGTTAAGTTGGTAGAAAGAAGGGTGAAATTGGTTAAGATTTCTCTGCAATGTGTCAAAAATTAGATGCATAAAGAATTTCATTTTGAATCACGAAGAAATACAACTACTGTATAATCAAAATTAAAATGTGAGTTGGCAGAAGCAGCTTAAGACATAATGAACGCACTGGAAGAGAATATAACTAAGATCCCCAAGTCTTATCTCCCTTTGTTAAGTGACAAATGAATACATACCAGAGTACAGTCAGATTGTAGTGAGACCTCCCCCCGGGGTACTGGGAGCAAGTACAAATGGTCTGAGAGAAATCTGAGCTAATATCCAAGTCCGAGTAAATCTTTTAAGTCTGCAATCTATGGCAGCGTTGCCTCAATAAGATGAATAAAATTTTATTTTAAGACAAATTTGAAGGCCAGAAGATTGTAAAACCATTTCTACCAAACAACAACATCAGAAATGTCAGTCCTTATTGGAAGAGTTGAGGGAAGACACAGGGTGGCATCCCTTCTTAGATTTAATGCCCTGCAGGGAACTGGGTTTTAAGGCAAGTTTCTGGAAGGTTAAATTCTGACTGTGCAAACGTGGTCATTTTTTAGTTTCCCTTCATCTTTGTAAATGCAAGGATGATGAATAGAGGGGGGAAAAGTGCAGATTAGCCAGTCCTGGGGAGAGCAGCGCAGGGGAGGAGCAGGGGCGAGCTTTGCTTTCTTGCCAAATGATGGTGATTTTTCTATATTGTATTTGTTGACACATTTTATACTTAGATTCTTTTTAAAGAATGAAATTATAATGTGAGAAACAGGCAACAGAAACACTGTTTTCCCTTGAAGACACTGACACAGGGTGAGCGCCAGGGTTCACACAGGGTTTAGGGAGAGAATACAAGTTTCTTTGTCCATGTTGGTTTCATGTGACTTGATACTGCTGTTCCTGAGGCAAAATGCGATTCCCAGGGACGTCTAGAAGTTTCTGTCCCAATTTCCCTTGGAAATACTAACAGTACAGCTTCTTGCACCTTCGGGCGCCACGCTTCCCGTGTCTGGCTGCAGTCCCTGCCTTTTGTCCAGGTCACTGCATTGTTACCTTTAAACCTGAGACTATCAGCTGGCAACCTGGAGTGGTCAGCACTGTGAGGGCAAGCACTGTGAGGCAAGGAGACGCAGGCTCAGGGGCGGCTACACGCACACAGGAAACCCAGGCTGCTCTCCTTCTCCAAAGGCTCACTGTGCTCTTTAAAAGAGAGGGGGACATTTTATCAAAAATGTAAACTCAAGGGACACAAGTTGCATGCCTGAATTAAGTTTTAACTATACAAACTAGCAACGGCCTGCACATCCGTCTGATTCATCTTCCCTTGTGTGTGCAATTTGGTGGACTTCAACTCAGCACCTGCCCAGGGCCAAGGAAAAGTGAGTCCCTCACTGGTCTCATCAGTTTACAAGGCAGGGGGCAAGTGCAATTGATCCTTCCCTTCTGCGGTGATTTGGAACCAAACAAAGCCTGGGAGGAGGTTATCTATGTACATTCCTGGATTTTATATGCCAACTGAAGGCACAGAGATTATGATATTCTCTAGGGTCAAAAGTTGGCTAAGTGGTAGTGGGGCTCTTTGAATTGTTATTAAGAGGAAAATGTAAGTGATGTAAGTCTCTTATACAAAAGTATATGTCTGTAAAGCACAAGAGTGAAATTCTTATCTTGCATTACAATGATAAGAGGTACAGAGGAAAGATCTTTACAGATTAAATAACACTATACTAGGATTTAATCTATTTTAAGGTTGAATATGCCCAACTTGATCAACAATGTATGACTAATATACATGTAAAATTGAGAAAATTTATCATAAAATATATATAAGAAAAGACTTATATTTTCAAATCTGTTATGATTTTTTATTTTTATCTCCAGGAAGATACAACATTTAAAATAAAGGAATATATTTAAGTAAATTCAAAAGTCAATAAGGATTATATTAATAAAGGACACATGACATTATAATTAGTGAATGAGAAAATAATTGCTGAGATCAGACTTCTTCCTTAAGTTTATATAGTGAGAAAGTTTTGCCTTGTTTTCTCACCAAAAAAAGGGGGGGGGGGCAAATAGATAAATGAGAAATGCTTGATCTCTTTAGTGCCAATTTTAAAATGAAACATTTGTTTCATTTCTTCCCTTTATCAAGTGGGAAAAGATTAAAACTACAAACATACTCAGTGCTTGAAGAGACTCAGAAGGGAGCCTCACATGGACAATCACTTTCTAAAATGGGGCAGTGTTTCTAGAAAGAAAATTAGCAATACGTATCAAAAACGGATAAACATTCAGTACCATTTACGGATCCCATCCCTGTAACTGCAGGCTTATGTTCAAAGCATGCAGGCATTGATTTCTGTAAAAGTGTATGAATTTTAGTCCTAATTATTTTTTAAAAAAAATATAGAAGTCATCTAATAATCGATAGTAGGGAAACAGGATATTCCCATCACAGAATCTTAGGTACCATTTTTAAAATTGCCTTTATGGAATATTTCAGAGCAGACAAAACTTATCATGATGTCACTTTAAATGTAAACAACCAGATACGGAACTATACATCCAGTACAAGTACACCCTGCAAACATGAATGCATACAAATATTCTGGCATAATCAAGAAATTGGGAAGAATTAAACCTCAATCTTCCTAACCATTGGTCTACAGTGATTTCTAAACCTGTTTTCATAGTTGTGAGGTGATTACTTCCAGGTTAAAGCATAAAGCATTACTGGAGGGAGAAACCCACAAGGACCATCCACCTACACCCAGAGAGACAGAGAGTTCTTCTGCCGGCTTCCGTGACATCTGTACTCCCACGTCCACCAAGTGCTCCATCTTCCCTAGTACAGGAAGCCCCTCTGCTTCCTGACACAGGGGCTTCACTCAATTGTTCTTATGTACACATGCGCTTAAATCACTGGGTAGAGTAGCTCCTATTCACAAAATCACCCCAAAGTAATAACATAAAAATTTTACTGCAACCATATGATTCTTCCAGCAGTGGTCCCCTGGGTGTCGGGGAGGTGGCCTCCTTCCTTCAAAAGCTGTTGCCAGTTATTAATATCAGGATCAGTTTAGTAGCAGGAGGCTGGGAGGGCTGTGCTCCTCCTCAGATGATATGATCCCCAGTGTGCCTTTCTGTGTCACCATTGTCAACACCAACAGAAGGTTCTGACATACTGGCTGGAGGTAGCACTCTGATTTCCAGAAACCTGCTTTTAATTTTCCCCTTGAAAAACTGCAGTGGTTTTAATTACCAATCGCTATTGGAGCAGATGAGCTCTCATTTCTAAAAATTTCTAATGCCTTTCCTGAAAGACCAGGCGCATCATCCTCGCGCCTTGCGTTTTGAAAGCACTGGCCACGGGCAGTCGTTCCCCTTGCCCAGGGAAGCTGAACGCGGCAGTGGAAGGCGATGTCGCAGTGCTGCGGCCACAGCAGGCTAGCCGGGCAGCAGAATGGAAAGCCTGTCTCGTTGGTTGTGTTCCTTCTTGGAGACAGGTCTGTTCAACAGATGTTGTTAAGGCTTTAGGCTCCTTTTAGTCAACACTGTAAAATCATTAAAGAATAGAAATGCCATGCTAGGAATAGTAACACCCACTAATCATGAAGTCACTTTAAAAAGCCATGTAGTACAGTCCCAAAGGCCAGTGAGCAGCAACAATTAAGATGACCAGGGGTTACAGATGGTTCTGCTTAAAACTATGAGACCAAAAGTTCTTTGACTCTGTTCAGAAATCCACTTGGCTTTTACTAAAAATTTCTCCCTGATATCAGAGCTCAGTCTCCACCCTCACCTCTGAGCCTCTTCGCCAGCCTCAGGAACACGTCCAGGGCCTGTTTCTTTTACTCTGTGCATCTGAGGAGCACAGAGGAAGGAATTCCACCCTCCGTTGTTTACTCTGCAGATTAAATAGACTCAGTGTTCTCTACTTTGACCTTGGCTCCTAAGCTATATTCAAGTCCTTTTGTTTTTCTCCTGCTCTCATACCACATCCGAATTTTCTTTCTTTTCTTGTATTCACTGGGATTAGAAACAACTGGGTCCAGAATTAGCTACACAATTTCACTTTGGGCATATGAATGTGTGTGACGCTCAAACATGAATACAGATGAATATCTGGCTGAACTAATCATTTAGAAAAGGTATTTTTAATATAAGTATGGATCATATAGTCCAAGGATGAATGGTGTTCATAAATTGTTCTTCCATTCCCAATGTTAGCATCTGAATTTAATTTCCCTGTGGAACTCACTGATGTGGATGAGTGACATTTTGTACCCAAGTGCATGAGTTTACATTTTAAGTGACGCAGACTGTAATTGTTTTTAGATGGGGTCCTAACAGAGGTGAGATGACCTATTTGACTACTGATTAAACCAGGTAACTGGAATTTTAAAGAGCTTCATCACATTAGGGTATACCCAGGTTGGCCGCAGCATGGGCCTAGACCAGGGGCTCCCCAGGAGGCAGCGGCTGCTGAGCACAGTCCAGGGCAGGATGGCCCCGGGAGAGCAAGACTCTGAGGGCCACCCTTCTCAAGGCATACCTGGTGTCCGTGCAGGTTATGCAGGAGATATCCCGGCTGTTGGTTGTGATCAGGTTCAGAGCTACTGAGGTTTCTTTGTCGGAGGTTGGGTGTGCTCCACATTTGAAGAAAAATTCCTGAAAGAATGAGAAATACGATCAGGCCCGTGGATCCCAGCTGGCCAGTTCCCCCTCTCTAAGCATTTCCACAGTAAGTGAACTCTTTGGGCGAGAGGAGAAATCTGTCACTAGGTGTGCGTCAGGAATAAATCGGTATCAGATCTTTGGGGGAAAGAAATGCCCTTGGCTGGCGTTCAGTGGGTCAGCGATTCCCTCCTAGAAGGAATGTGCTCAGAGCAGCATCTTCTGCTCATGAAGCCAGGAGCTGGGGAAACACTCGGCACCCTTATTCAGTGATGCCTGCCAAAAATGAGTGAACCTGAAGAAAAACAGGATACAGGAGGAAGCCGGAAACAGCGTCTCACAAATGAGGAAAGGGAGACTCTGGGTGCTGACGTGATTTGCCCTCAGTAACACAGAGGTGAAGCCTAGAAGTACCCCAGCACCCCAAAGGGAAACCCAGGGCTTTCTCCGCGGTGTGGCAGCCGGTCATTAGCAGGTAGAGTGGAGGAAGGAGTCTAGAGAGCCCTATGTAGCGCACGCACAAGGACAGTGGACTTAGAGCAGGCCCGGCTGTACCGGGAGCGGCGTGGCCCTTCCCAGCCTCACTGGGAGCCCGTCCTCTCTGCCACGCCTGCACCCTGGAATTCCCTGGGAGACCTGCTGTCCAGCGCCCGTGCCAGGCAGCTGGGAATGACCCCGTTAGCGTCTCTGGTCTCCATTCCTTCCCCAGCCACTTTCTGCAATTCCACCTGTATTTTGGCTTTGCATATAGGCCACATTCTTTCAGTCAATAAAAACTCCCTCCTCAACCACAATTTTCTTTTTTATTTTCCTTCATTTCCTGCTTTTCTAACTTGCAGGTCGGTTTTCAACCTTCTCTGCATTCACACAGCAGTCTTTGGCTGGGCCTTGTCCTTCCTCCTGTCAGACCTCTGCATGGCCTCCCTGCACACTGCTCTCACCACTAACTCCATCTGTATTTAACGACCTGAAATGTGGAGAGTCCTTTCCCTTACACACCAGACCTGCGACTGAGAACTGATGGAAAGCCCCAGATGTGAAATCTTAAATGCAGTCGGCTCTGTAGGCCCCATGTCTTAGTTGCATTTAACTCAGCATCCTGGCCTAAAGGCTTCAGTAGAAGACAGGCACATGAATGGGCGCAGATATCTACTAATGAACTTTATTCACAAAATGGACTTTGCCTGAGATCCACAGTTTAGCCATCATGAGAACTAATGGAATGCTCTATTTGTATTTGCAACAGTGCCTGGTATAGGATACAAGTTATATATATTTTCATAAATGAAAAATTAAAATATTAATTTAATAAATGTTATGTTCTGCTTACACACTGGACAGCATCACTTCATTTGTTCTCTTAAAATCTAACTAGCCTCATTCTCCTCTGACATACAATGCTTCTCAGACTCTGCTGTGCATCAGAATCACTTGGGCAGGGAGTAGGTCCTGGTTAAAGCAGAGATTGCTGCTTCCTCCTCCAGTTTTTCTAAGTTCTAGGGTTGGGTCAAGGATTCCCACTGCTAACAGGATGCCAGGTGATGCTGCTCCTACCGCTTAAGGAAATGAACTTTGAGAGCCCTTGAGTTAAGGTGAATAAGCTCTACTTATGCACTCGAGAGACCACAGCTACAGCAGACCTTGCTTACTACATCTGAAATAATGCCACAACCCAGGCCAAACTGGATGTTCTCCAAAATTTTGGAGTGAGCCATTTTACAGAGATATGCCCCCAAATAAGGTATCTAGAAGACAAGCTATTCTTCATGACAAGTCTTGAGAATCCTGCTAGTTAACTGGAACCTATCTTACCCAGGGCAGTGGGATATTAGCTGATTCCCCGACCTGCAATCTTCAGCCCATGGTGAGGGTATGCAGAGTGTCTCTCTAGACTTAGAGGGCATGCCCAGGGTCAGCACTAGAGCCCAGGTGCAGGCCTGTCCATTGAGTCCTGCCCATGAGTCCAGGCCCTGCCCTGTAACTGCATGGAAATCACACTGAGAGATGTTTTTTTTTTTTTTTTTGGTTTCTCTTTTCTGAACATGGGACACCATCTTTTGCACTCAATCTTTTGAAATGCTACGAATCTTTCAAAGGCCAATTCAAGGGTACTAAGGAAAAAAGTTAAAACAATTCGTGACCACCCTAACAAAAAGTCTGGAGGACATGACTGACTCCAGGAGATACACTGAGCCAGGCACAACTGCTTTTTGCAGATGTAAAAAGAATCCTAACTCATAACTTAAAGTGATTCCTCCCAAACGGCTGACTTGACTAGACCATTGAGAATGTTTTTCATCTACAGATAAATAAAAGTATTTATATTTTTTCTTAGCTTGCAGAAAACTACTGTTAGAAGTTCAGCTAACACATCATGAATTGTTCTAACACCCAGTAAAATTCAGCCAGATAAAATCCAAAATCCTCCCTATTTGGGGGGGTGGATATTTATAGATAGTGATGTAAGAAACTAGAGATATTTGGAAAATTCCAGTAATTCATAGGGTGTTACAAAACTAAAATACAAAATACTAACTCTGCATATTTAATATGTCTGTGTTATCAGTGAATTTCAGTGCTCTCTCCACCATTTTTAATGAAAGGAGTGTTTCCTGTGGTATTGGAGTAACTGGTGAGCTCTGTGAAGGATCCAAGGTTTTGCCCAGCTTTCTCCCCACAGTTAATCTGCCACAGTATTATCACAGATGCCTGCAGAAAACGAGGGACTGCAGGGTCAGAGAGAAAGGACTGCATAACTCAGCACAGCAGAAAGCAGTCCCTGACACCCAGGGCAGGGCTGCAGACGGGACTCCTTGTGCAGCTGTGGTTTGACCTCGCGGCTGAGCGCTTGAGCTTGGGGAACTCAGATGTTTATAAGGAGCTGTGAGCTGGCATTGCTTTTGTCCTGAAGGGAGCTGTGGTCTTTATTATTCTGGATGATAAGCAAATCTGCCTTTTGTTCTGGAGAGAGAGATTTTCTCTTCTAAAGTCATTACTTTTCCTTGAAAAGATGGCCCCAAACAAAGGACCATCTCCCTGTTGCTCAGAATTAGGAAAGACAGACCATGGAGAACTGTCCCCCACTAGAAAAAAATGTCTTTCCTGAGAGGCCACTGGCAGAGGGATGTGGTCCCTTCCTCTCCTGTACGATCAGTGCACCAGGACTCTCCAAGCCATGCCTGACATGACGCAAGCGAATAAGCAGCAGAGCCCAACAGGAGTCAGCAGAGTCTTCTGAGGAATCCCACCTTGGGTGTCTCAAGGTGCCCACAACGGGGTGTCGTGCCACCCCACAGACAGCTCCAGGACTCTTTGTGGGGACCGTGAAGCTGTGCCTTCCTTTGGTCTTTCCCCGTTGTTCTGGAAGCCAAAGCCAGGACCTGTTCAGCTTGGGTCCCAGCAGGCTGCTCAGAAAGGTGACACCCCCCTCAGGTCCTGGCAGCAGCCCCCAGCAGGTGTCCCACAAAGCATCTGGTCCCCATGTGTCAGGGTTGGCCAGCAAAGCTGCCTCTGGGGCCCTAGGGAAGCAGAAGGCTCTGGGCTCAGCAGGACCATGTCCCCATCCATCAGGAAGACAGTGCCACACGGGCCCATCCAGAACTCCTAGCTGTGGAGGGCCCAGCCTTCTCTTATAAATGCCAACTCACAGCTACATCAGCTATGGAAAAAAGGAGAAGGAGAAGGCCCCATTAAATTAAAAGAATCCCTCCACCTGACCAGGGCCTGCTGTTCACACTGGAGCTCGCTCTGTCTGGATCCGTATCCTCACTGGTGGGAACAACACAGCTATAGAGCTAAAAATCCATGATAATAATTAGTCAGTTTTGTTTTGTTCTCAAGTGATAGTATAAGCTATTAAAAAAAAATAAGCCAGAGAAAAATAACACCTTAAAAAACGGGCTTTATAAAAGGCACACTGTTAAACACTCTGCAAGTGTTTTCCACCTTATGAGTATTAAGAATCCCCAATCCAGCAAGTGTTCCCGAAGTCCTGAGCCACACGCACACCCTTCCCATGTCCTGGCGCCACAGCCCTCCCAGTTGCTTCCGGGTGAATTCACCTCCTCTCCCTTCCAGACAGCAGAGGCCTGGCCTTCCAATCAGGCCACGCCCATAAAAATCAAGGTGTCCCCCAGGAGGGGAGCCAGGAAGGGAAGCTCAACTGTCTCAGAGTTCCTGGACGTCGCTCTCTTCTGCCCCTGCACTGTGTCACTTTGTCACCACTCCTAAGAACTGCCTTAGAAACAAAGGGGGACTATAGCCACAGCAAAAGAAATGAACCAGAACCAGCCCAAACTGAAAATGAGATTAGTACCAGGAAACAAATGTGTGGAAACTGACAGGACAAAACGCTGATCAGTCAACATTAGATACTATTTGATGGGTTCCAAATTGATGTAAAAACACCCAGTTAGTGGCTGGAATCCCTGCTTGTCCCCGCCACAGTCCAGCCAAGAGCAAGAGCAAGACCTGATAGCTCATTTACCCAGAACCTTCTAATAGGTTTCGTTGAATACCCTACAGTGAAAAGTTTTCATAGATGCTGTTTCACAATTAAGCTTGCCATATAAAATACGACTTTATCTTTACAAAGAATTTTGGCCTCCAAATCCTTTTTTTTTTCTTTTACTTTTTTGCCAGGGATACTGGGGGTTGAATTCATGGCACTCGACCACATCCCCAGCCACATCCCCAGCCTTATTTTGCATTTTATATAGAGACAGGATCTCAGTGAGTTACTTAGTGCCTCGCTATTGCTGAGGCTGGCTTTGAACTCACAATCCTCCTGCCTCAGCCTCCTTGGCTGAGGATTACAGGCCACTGGGATTACGGTTAACATGTGGTCATTTGCCTGGCTCAGGGCTCAGCTCTCGCTGTGAAGTGTAGAAGAAGAGGAGATCTTAACAGGTAAAGCAAGCCACTCTCACATTAGCCCCCCAAGGGACAGCTGCCATGGGGCTGGAGGCCAAGAGGCTGAGTCCCAGGGGTGGGGC